CGACTTCAAACTTTATTAATATTTGCAAGATAGACCTTATCTATTTAAAAAATTCAATTTTGGCACATTTTAGATAAACCCCACTCATGCGCTTTAAGTGTTCGATAGTTTGTCTAAGAAAAATCTATGATATTATAGCTTTTACACAAAGCTTGAGTATTTGATAAAATCTGTATGATGATGATATTGACTTACTTATCCTTGGAAAGATTGTTCTAATTCTAATAAACATGAACTTTATCAACGATTAAACCACGAATTATGCTAAATCTACAAAGTTTTAGGATTGAAAATACAAAATTTCTCTAAGAAATACAAAATTTGATCGATCAACGATTAAACCACAAATTTCATTGAAAATGTCATGCTAAATACGCAAAATAAAGATAGTAAAAAGTCTATCAACCATCACAATAATTGATCAAAATGCTAAGCTTACCAAAAACACATTGGCTCTGCCTTCTTCAGCTGCGGATTCTCTCTGAATCTTACGACTTACGCATATCCTGGAACAAACCAGAAACTCTTGGAGAAGTAAACATCTAATGATTTATTATGCCATGTAATTGTACTTGTCGCAAGATCAAACACACCGCATTTGATCTGTCTGTTGTCAACAAAAGAACCTCCAAGTGGCCAAAGATCATATTCAACGAAACCAATTGAATCACTTTTGATACCACCACCATTAATCTTTTTGACCGGAGCTCTTATCGTGATCCCATGACCAAATATCAACATCTCACCTCCAAGAGAATCCACTCTTTCCCAATTACCACTTTCCAAATTCATCTTATAGATGTAAAACAAACGTTTATCTCCTAACCCTTTTAAGCTCACAATGATCAAAACCTCTCCTGAGTTCGTCATCGCTACACTACTCTTCCACATGTGTTCCCCAGGTTGAAAACCAATTTGAATACGACGATTACGATACGGGTTTCCTTCGACTACTTCTCTAAGAGAATCTCCAGATAAATCAAGAATCTTGATGCAGAGATCCTTAGTTAACACATAAAGCTTATTGCCCTTATACGCCAAATCTACACAATCTGTACCTTCAAGTTTCCACCATGAATCATCACCATTCTTGTAAGAGAACAAGTAATGCCTCTTGTAACTCCAAGCAACAACATAATCCATTGTTCTCTCGTTAACCCACAAAACAGCTGGTTTCTTGCAAGAGATTATGTCCGTACGCTCAATGAAATGTTCCCACTCATCTTTCCTTTCGAATCTCGCCGCTTCGCCAAGTAGCGATGACTCCATGGAAGGAAGATCGATCCTTTCTCGAGTAAACACATTCAAAAGATAGAAATTTAGACGATGATCTACAATCAGGAGCCAATTGCTGCAACTAGCCATAACAGAGCTTTTTTCAAAGTCGATCCCATGATGTTCTATTTCTTGAATCTTGTCTTCTCCAGGATCGTACAACAAAGTCGAATTCTTGTTGAGTAGAATTCGCCATGGATAAAGAGGTCGCTTACATGTTATGGAAACTGAATACCAGTTTGAGCAAACAGTTCTTGCTCGATGATAATCCTTCGTGGTTAAACCTTCGAGGATCGATCGCATCAGATCTGGACAAAGCTTGGACCAATCATACCGATTCCTAGACATCGTCGTCTCTTCGAATCACTCCGATTGTAGTTGTGTCCGATACTAATTGAACACTGGATTTGGTTTTGATTTTGAAACCAGGAAAACGATTAATGGGCCGGAAAATGTATGCGTATCAACTATTCGATGATTTGTCTGAGAGAAGTCTATGAGTGTGTAATAGTGTTCAACAAAACATATGCATTTACAATCACAATTTTAATTCATACTAATCTTAAAATATCAATTCTAAAATAATAATCTGTTACAACCAAACTACCTGATCAAATGATTGATAATAAACCAAAAGTAGAGACTGTATAAAAGATAAGAGAAGTAACTAAGTGCTTGTTTCTCAAACTAAGACAAACTGAGAAGAATAGTTACACATAAAAGAGACTAAGTTTGTCCTGGAACAAACCAGAAAATCTTCGAATACCAACAATCAAATCTTGTATTATACGCGATTGTACTTGTCGCGAGATNAAACACGCCGCAGTTCGATTGTCTCCACATTTTAAGATAATCATCAGGCAAATGATCATCATCAAGGTAATAGATTGAATCACTCTTGATTCCTCTATCTTTAACCGGTCCTTTGATCGTAACACCATGACCAAAAATCAACATTTCATCTCCCAAAGACTCCACTCTTTCCCAATCTCCAATCTCAAGATTCAGCTTACATACACAGAACTTTCTTTGCTTATCTTTTAAACTCATAACAATCAGAACCTCTCCTGAGTCTGTGATCGCGATTCTCAAACGAATAATCGTATCTATGAAGCGAAATGGATGACTAAGATAAGGGTTTTCTTCGCCAACGACTTCTTTAGGGAAATTTCCAGAGAAATCATGAATGTTGATGTAATGATCATATGTATACACATAAAGCTTGTTATCTTTATAAGCCATATCCTCACATTGTGTGCATGTAATAATACTC